CTTTCTAGCAAATTGTAATGTATTTGGACCCTAGTCCTATGGGTTCACAAGGAAAGAAATGAGAAATGAGATGTGTAGGTATAAGGTTAGAGTAGTGGCTTAAGATTTCCGTAGAGACTCGGATTGACTTTGATGAGATGTTCACAGTGATGGATGCGATCACATTTTGATACTTGATTAGTTTATCAGTCTCAGAAAAACTTGATATGTGTCTCATGGACATTGTCACTGATATTAAATGTATTGGATACTGGTATCTATATGAAAATCCCTGAAGGATTAAAGTGCTTGAAGCAAATAAAGGAAGTCAAAGGAACATGTATCAATAAAAGTTAAAATATTGTTATATAGGTTGAAACAATCTAGACGAAGTGATATAATCATCTCAATGAATATTTGATTAAGGAAGGATACAACAATAATCCTATATGCTCGTGTGTTTTTATAAAAATGTTAGAATCATGATTTGCCATTGTGGTAGATGTCGAGACATGAACTTAATTGGGAGTCCTAAATGCTTACAAGTTACTGAGTACTTAAAAAAAAGATTTGAAATGAAGGATGTGGGGAAAACGAAACAGTGTTCTGCTTGCAGATTGAGCATTATTCAAATGGAATACTTATCCATCAATCAAATATATTGAAAAGATCCTAAAATGATTTAATATGGATAAGTCTCATCCCTTGAGTACCCATGGTGGGGTCGGTCTTGATCCTAAGAAGGACCGTTTCATCCTAAAGAAAACGATGAAAGATACTGTTCTTGAAGTACCTATCTAAATGCAATAGGTGCATTATTATATTTGACCCAATGTACGAGACCAAATATAACCTTTGCAGAAATCTGCTGGCAAGATTTAGCTCTATACCAACTCGTCGCACTAGCCTAGGATCCAACATGTTTTCATACATTAATGGAATAAAAGACCTCAGTGGAAAAAAAGACCTAAGATTATTTTGTCTGAAGAAATCTGTAATGATCCCAAGTTAGTTGGCTATACGGATGTTGGGTACCTTTATGATCCTCGAAAAGCCCACTCACAAGACAGGATATGTTTTTACTTTCAATGGCACTTCAGTATCATGACCATCTACAAAACAAACATTGATTGCCACTTCTTCCAATCACTGGAGATTCTTGTACTTCACAAGGCCAACCGAGAATGGTACGATTAAGATTGTCATCCATCATATTGAAAATACATGCAAGTTGCCACGCACCTTAGATGCTTCCAAAATTATAAATAAAGACAATGCAACAATATTTCTCAAGTAGAAAGGATGATATCAAAAAGAACAAAACTAAGTATTTTCATTGAAGTTTTATTTTACAATCACGAACTCCAGCAAAAATCGAGAGATTGATGTCAAACAAAATATGCTCTAGTGACAATCTTGCAGATTTATTCACTAAGACTTTAAAACATCAGCATTTGAAAAGTTAGTATATGACATGGTATGCAACGGCTTAATAAATTACTAAATAGTTTTACCATTATGAGGGGGAACATTGATCAAGGAGAGCATCGATAGAGGGAGTTTTAGAAATGTTTATTATATTGGACACATGTGCACTTTATTGTTTTTCTTTGACTAGCTTTTGACCCACTGGGTTTTCCTGATAAGGTTTTTGATGAAGCAATATATGAAACACGTCAAACTTCACTTTACAGTTTTTATAGAGTTGTATTTCTTATTTAGGTTTTTGTCCAGCGGGATTTTTCTTGAGTAAGGTTAAATATAATATCAGTAATTGGTAGAGGTCCAAAAGGGAGTGATAAATAGTGGACCCCACCACTTGCATTTTGATAAAAGAATTAAGTTACTTGATAACTTAATTAGTGAATGTGTAATATTGAGTTTCAGTGATATTAATAATTGGGTAATCATTAAATTAAAAACAGATAATATTAATCCATTGTATTATATATACAGCCTTAAAATCTTATAATTGTAATCCAAGCCAAGCCTAGCCAACAACTGAAACAGTCATGCTACTTTTTAGAAGATGGATCATATTGTTGTCATTGTTGTAGCTTAGAAATTAATTACTTCCTGTTTTTCAGTAAGGTGGCAAAATTACGTTATATCTACGTGGAAGGCATCACTTTAATTTAACGCAGACATTTTAGCATTCTACGCTTTGAACCTTTCATACAAAATACCCCCATACGGACACGTCCAAAACAACAAATAAACTAATTACCTTCATCTATCTAGGCATTTGCAATGCCGACCCAAGCCGGATCAATGCACATACCTTAACCCTATAAATAAGCAGCTAACATTTCAACTTTTTGTCACAAGCACTCTACTTCTAATTCTCAAGAGTCAACACCCAAAGCTTCTATTCTTTGAAATGGCTAATTCTAACTTGTTCTCATTCTTGTCATTTTAGCCATTTCTCTTCCTCCTTTTGGCTACAGATTACGTGGTTGGGGATGCCACAGGTTGGACCATAAATTCGATTACCAAAAGTGGGCTGAGGGGAAGGAGTTTCGCTGTGGTGACAAACTTAGTAAGTACTTTATAAATTTTTAATTAACAGGATTATTTATGAATATGGCTGATTGATTATGATTTAATTGATTTGTTGGGTTGGTGCAGTTTTCAATTACCACAAGGAGCACACAATGTGATGAGAATAACTGATGCAACTTCTTCCAACAGTGTGTGAAGTCGCTAGTGGCTTCAACTTTGAGTTCGGAAGTGATGAAATTATATAAGTTCACCTGGAAAGAAATGGTAAATTGTGGAGTTGGGCAGCATTGCGAATGGAAATCAGAAGCTAGCAATAACAGTGCTGGCTGAAGGTGAAACCTTACCTCCAGTGTCTCTTCTTTCAACTACTCCTCCACCATCCGCCGCAACTGCAAGGACTGGTCACTTTCTATGGATTCATGGCCGTTGTGGTGCGTTTTGTTGGAATCTTGATGGTTTAATTATTTTTTTCGTTAATGATATATAGTATTTTGAGGATTTGTTTTTCATTGTTGCAGTTGCTGTTTGTATAATTTAATTGCGAGTATGTTTAAGGAGAAGATCAATATTCTTTATTGGTAATTAATTTGTAAGTGATTGGCATGTTCAGAGCTTATGAGTACTTTATTTTATGATTAGACAAACTGCTCATGAGCCTCAAATTGACGAATATAATCTAATGATTATTACTCTAAACCCTTAAGGTACTCCATATGTAAACTCGCAAGGAGCAGGAATAACCTGAGATTAGGAATATGCCTAGATGGTAGATGTTTTTCGACGAAAAACATGGAATAATGGAAAAAGGAATTACTCATTTAAATCGTCAATGTATTAAGTTCTTTATATGAGTTTGAAACTTGTTCGTGACCTTAAAATAAGTTCCACACTTTTTTAGGTAAAGTTGTTTGTGTTTGCCTCAATGGGCAATGAGGAGTCTCAAGTCATTAAAGTGGAGAATTGGGCATAGACATTTGTACATTTAAAAATACGTGACTGGACCATGTGAAATCAATGTTTAGTATAAATATGTAACTAGGCATAAAATTCACCTCTAACAATTAAGGGCGTGTCTATCTAAATCTCTAAGTAGATAGAGTAGCTTCTTTTTATAGTATATTTTTTTCGATTAAAATAAAAGGTGAGACCACTGTATATGATCAATACCTAGCTAGTTGAGAGAATGTATTTATAGCATTGAGAACTCTAGTTCATAAATTTGAAATTCATAACTTTTAGTGAGATAAGAATATCACTTGAAGATTTTCAACGGGTTTGGATAATAATCTTGCCATTATTGATGATTAAATACATCAAATTGAGACTTGTTATATTTATATAAACTGGACAGTCCTAATTATTTATTAGATGAAAAATATCTCTAACATGTTAAGAAGTAATTGGGAATAAAATGGTAATTTTATCGTATATCCAATTATTGATACCCATGAGGATACACATGTAATTTGTAATTGCCATATGGATAGAGTTTTAATTTAAAATTAATTAGATTAATTATTAAAGTTTTCTAACAGAGTATTTAATTAAAGAGTTTAATGGAATAGCACATACCAAATGTGGCCCATTGTATTTAAGAGTTAAACTGGTTATGAGCCCAATCATTGAGCTTTAATTAAAATGTCCGTATCGGTAACTTGTGTGGCTTTGTATAATTTTCTGGAGAGTTTTTATTTAAAATAAAATAAAAAGTTGTGCTATAGGGGACCACCAAGCTTTGGTCAGTTCCATATCTACCACTAGAACATAAGATTTGAACCATGGTGGAAACACATTCGTGACCTTGGGTTTAGAATGCCTATGAAAGTGCACTAAAACTAGGGAATTTGATTAGTCAACATATTGAGATCAGCTGTGAATAACAGGTGGATTCGGGATTCTAGACCTAGAGCGAAGCCACACTCGCTTTAGGAAGATCTCGAATGGACGCCCGTCCATAGTTTAAATTATACAATTATAAAACAATAAGAATGGACGCCCGCCCGTCCATATTATATGGACGGGCGTCTATATTCAACGGACAAGAATCACCTTGTTGAAGTCAAGAGCCTTAAAAGTCACCTCGGCCTTCTCCAGCCTCTCTTTCTCTTTACTCAGATTTTCTTTAACAAGTCTATTGAACAATCCCACAAGTGGGTTGCCACTACTCTCCCTATCAAGTTCTTTTTGCTTCTTATCAACCCTTTTCTTCTCCAGCTTTATGGCTGCTTCAATGGAAGGGTTCCCCGTGAACTTCTTGAACTTCCTCATCTGTTTTCCTGTCCATTTCTTGCTACTGCTCAAGTTCTTCACTTTCTTTACTAGCCTGCACTTCAGTTCCATTTTTATCTCCACTTGGCTTTTACTTGCCACTGAAACTGGAGATGATCAAGAAGTGGAAGTTTGTTCACTTTCTTGCTCTTCTCTAAGTGCACACTAAACAAGTTTCCTTCTACTCCATATTTAATGGACGCTCATCCCTTGTTTGGCTGTTTGGATTACTAAAAAACCAAACTGAAAGCATGGATGTTGTGTGTAGTAGTTGGTTGAAACAGTTGAAGTGGTGTTGTTACTTCCAAGGTAGGATGCTTTTATTCGAGGAGCAGTAGACTTTAAAAATGGTGCTTTTAAAGCAAATTCTTTTATTCTAGCTTCAGCTTCTTTTCCTGGCCTTGAGGGTACAAGTGGTTTCTTCAACTTAGTTTTTTTATTTGTGTCAATTTTAGATGGACGGCGTCCATTTTAGATGAACGGCCATCCATTTCAGATGGACGCCCGTCCATGTACTTATACGGACAGGCGTCCATTATTTTATTTTTAAAAATTTATGGATAGAGGAAATGGACTTCTGTCCATATAATATGGATGGGAGTCCATTGTTATTGAACGACTGTCCATCATATATAGACGCTCGTCCATATTTGATGGACAACCGTTCATTCACGGAATACTTATTAGTGTGCTACGTGGCTACTTCTGACTCAGATGATACGTCGGTCGGTACAAAAATTCGGTGTAAACCTTCGGTGTCCGTAGCATTATTGTTTTTTTTTTTTTCTTTCTTTTAAATCCATTTGAACAGTTTGACACTTTGATAACTGATGCTTTTGAATTATATCTCTTGCTTTCCCCACAGGATTGAAATTTTATGATCACATGTCCACTGATAAAGTAAAAACAAAAGCTAAACCAGCAAAGACATTTACCCCTAGGATCTCAACTTTGATGAAACCAACAGCAAGTCAGTTGGCCAAGCAAAATAAGGCTGCTCAAGTTGGTAATTCTAGGTAAATATGTGAATTTCTCTGTTCTTTAATTTTCTTCTTCGTAGTTTCTCTCTCTCTCTCTCTCATACAATTGTAGTTTAAAAGCTCTTATATTGTTAGTTGAGGCCCTTCTGTTTGGAGCACATTCTTCCAAGTTTGGTTATTGCTCATAGATGAATCGTTACTCCATGATAATGAGTAATAGTGACTCGTTTAACCATCTTAATCTCTAAACTTGTATGTAAGTTTTTTTATGCCGTTGCCCTTGATTGTTAGATATCAGATGCTACCGGTTCAAAATGGTGAAAGGAGCTTGTGTAATTCTTCTCTGGTTGAAAGTCAAGCTCCCAAGAGGCAGAAACTAGAGGGAGGTCACTTGCGTAAGGTATAAAACTGTGCTACATGCTGAGTTAACCATCCAGCGCAACCTTTTGATAGGCTCAGTCGTGAATTGTTGCCTGAGGGGCTAGAATTAGCTAGAAATTTAGGGCAAGGTCATAATTTTATGCTTGTTAGTTTAACCTCATTTTACAGACCTCTAAGCTTATCATGTTTTCTGCATAACAGGTTGCTGATGACAAGCTGCAAACTAACTTTGTTCACAAGACACCTAAAAAGGCATGTTACCTCAAATTATATTCAATTTTTCCAGTGCCTCATACTGTCATACATGATTGATTAATTTACTGGTCTGACATTTCACTTATGTTAGGAAATTAGTTTTCTCATTAGTTTCTTTTGCTAAATAATTTTGTTGTTCGAATGTGAATAATTTAAAAATTATGTCTAGAATGTGGAGGTTAGACTTCCTTTATAGCACTTTTTGGACAAATATAATTCCATTCTATTCTTGAAACTCTTATAACTAATAGGCAGAAGTTCAATTTGCTTTTTGGGTTCTAGTGGGTCAAAAGTTGGAAATTTCGGTAGAACTAAACTTTTGGTCATTGTATGTTTAACTTGTTATATGGTTTAGTTGATATATAAAATGATAGCCAATAGTTGTTGGAATTTGAACTATAAAAATTAGATGAAGGCTAGAAGAGAGTGGTAAATATCTATTGGTGGACTGCTCTGTCTTCTCTCAAAGGTCATGTTTGGGCCTATGTTTAGGGCTCGGGGAGATCATGTTCCGAAAATCAACAAAGGGACATATTGAGGGATTATGTTGTGAAAATCTTCCAAGGGATACATACAAGCTGTAAAATTTACGAATCATTTCTGGGTGGCTTTGCAGGATGGAACTTTTGATAAAAACTCTGTGCTGGCGAAGCTGAAACTCACTGTTCCAAGAGAGCCTGACCTTGAAACAGCACATAGGGCCCAAAGGACAAGGTTTGCGATTGTTATTCTAACAATAGATATAAACTACGTTTTCTCCAATGGCTGCTGGGCTAATTGCATATCCATATTTCAGGCCGAAGAATATTATAGAACAAGAAAATGATATGGCTGCAGCACATAGGTTTAAAGCGAGACCATTGAACAGAAAAGTTGGTACCTAAATATGTTACCTATAAGAATATTTGATTGTTTTCTGCTTTGCCTTTATTGTTAACAATCTTGCAGATTCTCAAGGCTCCTACCTTGTCGATTCCAAAGAAGAGTGCTCCAAAGTTGCCAGAATTTCAAGTGAGTGCTTGACACCTGTCTCCTACTTGTTGGTTGATTAATAGCACTATGATACTATTTAAAGCAGCGTAATGGCAAACTATGGTCTCTTACCAGCCAAAAAAGAAAAAAACAGAAAGATCATTGACTGGGTGAAACAAGTCCCTTGTATCGCCATTTCTCACTCAGACATTTGTTATATTTTTATCAGGAATTTCACTTGAAGACATTGGAGAGGGCTATGCAGCAGACGTCATCTGTTCCGTCTTCCATACATCATTATACTGCTTCTGACAAGGTAATCTTTTGTATTCTGATTATCATCAAGAAAGCTATCTTTAGTCATTGGACAAGACCTTGTGTTCAAGCAGAATAAATATTTGCAATAGTCAATGTGTGCCAGAAACATGTAATTAGTATATGTTTTCTTACTTTCCATTAGTATATGTCGTTAATATGTGTACTTTTGGGAAACTAAACTTACAGTCTTTGCAGGAATCCGACAAACCTAGTACTTTTTTTGTTGCAGGGAATGGAAATAGAGATTTTGGGAGGTTAGTGTTATGTTTTTTTTTTGGTAGTAACTTCAATATAACTAGAAGGAAATTCTCATTCACTGGTAAATACTTATTAATTGATAAAAATGTGCTTACTCTTAGAACTGCTCCTACTTTTACCGGAACAAGTAGCATGAGTGCTCCAAGGAAGGATGTGCATCATATAGTGCACAGTTTTAAAGCTCGCCCTCTTAATAGGAAGGTAAGTGTAAAATACCTGTGAAATTTCATAGCAAATTATTGAAGGCCTTAACCCTCTCTGAGTGCAGATATTTTCAAGTAAAGGAGATATTGGTGTTTTTCGGAATAGCAAACGGGAAACCACAGTACCAATGGTAGTTCATAACTACCTATCTAATATTTATTTCTTGGATATTGAGATGCCTTTTGATAGAATATAACTGGGATAGATATCATTTTAAATCTTATGCAGGAATTTAATTTCCAAAGTGGGAAGAGGGTTCAGCCTAATGTACCAATAGATCTTTTCAGCAAGGTAAATTCTGTATAACTATGTTGGCTTGTTTTCCCTTTCACGCCTTACTTTCAGATTGTAATAAAATTTACCTGATATTCTATCTTTATTGTGGCAAAAAATTGAAGCATGTGGTTGTGTTATTGACTGTTTGTTTCAACATATTATCCTAATGGTTCCTTTTGTTAATTGCTAGCTCTCCCTGACGTCAGAACTCCAGCCAAATAATGGATCTCAGTTGAAATTGCCTCGACCTACCTTCATGGCTATGAAGGTTCTAGCTTTTTTAAACTTTATAATTACTAAATGAACGGAGTATACCATCAATGATCAATTTGGTTAATACCATACTGAGTTGTTTGTTATTTTGTTTTTGGTGTAAGGGCTCTAAAGAAAATAGATTGATTTCTTTCCAGCCAGAGTATGAGGTAGGATTGGCATATTTGTGAATAAACAACTTCATTTACGCATTATAGGTTTAGTTTTATATTCCTTTTCTTCTTAGCACTCTTATTAATTGTTTTCCCCCATGGATGCATGTTATTCATGTCTCATCATAGACAGCACATTTGGTGAAAGAAAAATCATCTATGTTTGGTGGAAAGCAGAATCAATGCTGCAATGATGAAGTCAGCACCCGCTTGAATGCAAGGAGGTATGCCCACTGAACGTAGGATAATCAATTCTACTTTTTGTTAATAAGTTCCTTATGTTCTACATTCTGATTTCGGTAACTGAATTTGAAATTGCGACAGGAGTTTGGGTATCCGGTGAGAGTAAGATGGTCAAGTTCCTAAACAGGTTTCCTGCATTGGCATCTCAAATACTTGATAATTGCAAAAAATTTCAACAGCTTGTTTTTTGCTGTATGAAATCATGGAGGGCACAGTTCTATAATTCAACATTTTATATCTCAAGCCACTGATCTAACAGATTTATGCTAAACCAACTTCCTTAGTCCATACACTCTGTAGGTGGCTGTGCATAATCTCAATAATTTGAAGGTCAATGTTGTACAGTTGTCAAGGCCTCCTCACTCATACCATCTACCAAATTTTTTTTTTTTTTTTTTTTTTTTTTAGCATTAACACTTTGTAACAGACATTAATTGAGAAATACAAGTTTCTTCTAGTTTTCAATTTTCACAGGCTGAGTTGGTGCAGCCCTTTTTGTAGTTCTGATTAGCTTAGCATGATTGCTTCTGTAATTGTGTTGGATATGGCAGGAAGTAGATGGAAACAAGAATGGGGGAAGATTGAATCCGCTGCACTAATCATTCTAACATTATGGCTATGGACTTGAGGAGGACAATCATGAATAACATCAAAATTACATACAAATAGTAAAAAAGAGTGTTAAATTATAGTCTATGAAATGACAAATTCTTTATTACTCAATCATTAACGTTGGTATTTATGCCATGTGTACAATGCATTTCCAGATTTGTTTCAGAAGTACAATTCCAGGAAGCATGAAATATTCTTATAGGAGAGTAGTATAATTTATATCCAAGCAGGTAATGAAGTTTTAGTACCCTCCTTCATTTCCTCTGTCAAAATCTTTATTGGATGAATTATGCTTGGTTAGAGCATTCTTTGTCCAACGCCTTATATCTTATGCTCTTTTGAAGGGTTTCTTCTCCTTGACAAGCCTTCTCTTTGTTATGGCAATGGCAAGATCATTAGGGAATAATGTGTGCCAAACAAAGGCGTGAAGAAGAGTGGACACGAATAACACAGACACCATTGTTGATGACATGAAGGAAAGACTAAGTGCGAGCCCCTTGCTTAGAACACAAGGAACCTGCTCTGCATACTTGATTGTTGCCACTGATGCTGTTGTCATAGGGAATGTATAAGACCACCATGCCACTGAGAACCTGTGAAATGGTTAAACATATAATTAACGTATGAATCAATTCAAGTGAAAATTTGAATTGCCATAAATTGATCAAAAAGTTTCTCACCTGAACCCTGTGAAGAAGTTGATACGTACAACCAATGAGATATACAGAAAAAGTGCAATGAAGAAGCAATTCCTCGACAACCCATCGAAATCTCCATAGATAGTTTCCCAAGCGATGCTGGCAGCCGATGGGGCAGCAATGAACATAGAGTAGACAGGGTGTAACTCTTTTGGCAATGCTTCACTTGTTGGCAATCTTTGGTATAATGTCACAAACACCACAAGATAATGTGCAAAACCAATGGCCCATAAAAACTTTCCAGCCTCCTTCCACCCAACCTTAGCAGCCAAAATTGCCCCAACAAAGTTTCCAACCACTGATAAATGAGAAGACGGGTTGGCTACCTTACAAAGACGCCTTTTACCTCCAGAAAGCCATTGTCCATAAATCTTGAGTTCAAGAAAGAAATAGGGTGCCATGAAGGCGCACCAAATGGCAGGGTGCAGAGGACCAGGTGCTAGCATCGGTGGTACTCCAATGGCTAAGAACATGCACACAACCCATGGAGCAAAGAAGAAATTGACCCTGACTGGATGGAAGTATTCTCTTTTCACAGCTTCAAAGTAGAAAATGCATTTGAGTAAGTAGGTGATAAAAACTGATACAAGAACTGCTAGTGCTAATAGCCACAAGGCGAGGTTGATGTAAGGAGGAATGTGGAGAAATTTGGTAGCTGGACTTGTTGCAAGAGCACGCCATAGGACAGCTTGGCTGCTGAGACCGAGACATATACCAAAGCAACCAATTGGGAACCGAAGAAGAAAGGGCCATTTCTCATCTTTCGGCAGCAGAATGTCCTCGTATTCCTGCACAATTTAGTTACAAGAGTATGAATATGTATATTTGAGACACTTTATTAGTCCATCTCAACTGTTTTCATGCATATAGGCTGACGAAAAAGCAGAAAAGAGAAGAAGGATCAATTACCTTGACTTCGTCTAATTCAGGACCTCTAAGAGCTGCGAAATATCTGCCAGCAGGAACGCTTTTATTAAGGAATTCATCAAGTCTGCCAGAGCCATCGGTTCTCTGGGATTCCAATTCTTTCTCCTTTCTTGTTGGCAACAAAGAATTCTGCTTACTGAGAGTGGATTTGGTTTTAAACATGCTGAAGTCTCCTTTCCTAGCTTCTCCACTGAACCTATTAGCCGAGTCAAATCCTCCAAAACTACGTCCACTTCTCGGAAGAACCCTTCTCTCATCTTTACCATTAGTTTCTCTATTCAGCACTGAAAAGCCCGTCTCCAGCGACACTTGTCTACTAAAACTCCTATGGCCCGGTCTTCTCGATTCTCTAACCGCTCTAATGCCTTTGTTCAAACCTCTTTTTACTTTGTCTTGCATTCTGGTTATTCCTTCTTCCTCTTCTTCTGGCACAACTTCATGAACATCCACAAAATGAGTCCCAAGGGAATTTGGAGAAGTTGCTCGCGTTTCCATATATTTTACTTGTATTAAGACTTAACCTCAACCTGGTGTTTTTATAATTTAAGGTTTTAATGATATTTTTACAAGATTTGTCAATCAAACACTTAAGCAATTTAACTTGTAGGAAGGCTTCACGAGAAGTATTGAAAAGGGTATAGGTTCTTATGGTTGTTAGTTGTTTGGTAATAAGATGAAATAGTAGCCAATACTTTTTAGCAAGGAAAGGTGAGAGTTTGAGGGATTTCTCGTGAGAGAAGATCAATAATTTTGTGGCTTAGGAAAAGTGTCAGTCAATGAAAAAACTGAGAGGTTTCAAGTTTCTATGACAGTTCACGGGTTTTGCCAGTGAATTAAGTAATTAAAGAGAAAGTAAGATTGATTATTAGTTTAAGGCTCAATCAACCATTGTAAAAGTTTTACTACCTCGTTCTGATGTATAAATTCGTCATCCTTATGTATACAGGAAACAAAGTTTTACATAAGTGCCTACATGAGTACTGCTTACTGTCAAATACCTCTAAGTAATGGGAAACTTTTTCTTAAAACCTCTAGTATTGTCATACCTTTTACTGGGAGTTTTTTGTATTAAGGAAAATACAATAAATATTATAACTATAAAAATACAAAATAGCTATCAAATAGCTTTGGCTATGTTCTAGGATTATGGTATCGCAACTTTAAAAAATTATAAATCCAATACCACATTTAGTAAAAATTTGTTATGATGTTATAAATAAGTGGACATCCACCCACTTGCATTTTGAGGCGGCGAAGGACTAAATTTTGATTTTGATATTAAAATATGAAGTTTTAAGATTTTGATATTAGAATCCGAAGTTTTGAAGTTAATTATTACTTTCTTGTGAAGCTCCAGTGTGAGGCCCTGAGACTAGATGGAAATAACTATGATGAATTGGCCCTAAACACTACTCTCCATTTGGAATCAATGAAACTAGGGGAAGTGATCAATTAAGGAAACATGGCGTCTTTGCTGGACATATCAAAAGCTATTATTTTCCTTCGGCATCATATCCAAGAAGAACTGCAAGCTGAGTATAAGGATATAAAAGATCCACTTCAATTGGGGATTAATTTGAAGGAGAGATTTGAGTATAACAAATCTGTAATACTCCCAATGGCTTAATATGACTTCATTTGTGTCTACAAGATTATAAATTTGATAGTGAGTACATAATTCTACTTTATTTTGCATTGTCTCTAAATTAAGATTATGTGGAAGAAAATATCTAAAGAAAACATGTTAAAAAAAAAATATAATTCTCCACTTTTCCGCCCTTCTAATATGCTCCTATAGTAGCAATACCAGGAACACAACTTTAAAAAGTATTTTGAATTAATTTCTTGTTTGCTTATTGTTGAGCAAAACAATGAACTATTACAAAGAAACCATCAAAATCATCCCACTGGCTCTCAACTGTTCCTTGAAGTGAATGTGACTATTAGCAGTAATAATTGTGGGCATGGGTGTGGTCGAGATCGTGGGCAAAACAATTTTTGACCCAGAGGTGGTAATACTAAGAAGTTTCAATCAAACCATCACAAGTGGAACAAGTTTGAATCAATGCATGAGAAAAGAAACCACTCACATAACAAGATCCCGAAAGATAATGAAAACAAGTGCTATAGATGTGGAGGAAATAGCCATTGGTCGCGTACCTATCGTACGCCAAAGCACTTGGTAGAACTATATCAAGCATTGATAAAGAACAAGAAGATAGAGACAAACCATACTAATACTCCTAAGACAAAGCATATTGATAATTCTTATCCAATTGGTCTTAATGTCTCAGACTTAGTTGGAGATGCCGATGTGGAATATTAAAGCAGTGATGAGAATACTTGTGATTTCCGGGATTTATGTAACATTTGTTATGTTCTCAAACTATGCATTGTTTACAATCAATTTTTGTTTTGTTTTGTTTTGTTTTGTTTGAACCTCCTCAAGTTTTGTAAACATCCTCACTGATGTAATTTTTTTTTAAAGGATGCATTTCAAAACTGAAACATCGATATTCAATAATGGTAGAGACATTTGTATAGTTGACAGTGCAACAATGCACACCATCCTTCGGAATAGAAAACATTTCTTAGACTTGACATTTTCTAAAGCTAAAGAAAATACCATATTAGGACCTGTAAACATAATTGAGGGCTTTGGAAGAGCAACACTCTTGTTAACAAGCGAAACTAAATTAAGTATCTGTATTGCTTTATATTCTAGAAAATCCAGAAGAAATTTGCTTAGTTTCAAAGATATACGATTCAATGGATACCATATTGAAACTTAAGTGAAAATGAAGGAGAGTTTCTATGCATCACCAATAATATTTCACGCTAGAAGCATATACTAGAGAAACTTCATGTTTTCTTAATAGGGTTATATTACACATTTCTAAAGAATATTGAAATCTACGTAGTTATGAACCAAAAGTTCACTGATCCTAAACTTTTTAAAATTTGGCACGATCGTCTTGGTCACCCAGGATCTACTATGATACTTAGGATCATAGAAAACTCACATGTGCACTCGTTAAAGAAACTGAAGATTCTTTCACCTAGTGAGAGTGCTTGTATTGTTAGCTCACAAGACAAATTGACACTTAAGCCATCCCTAACTAAAATTGGTTGAGAATCCCCATCATTTTTACAAGAATTCAAGGGGACATATGTGGACATATTCATCCACTAAGTGGACCTTTCTGTTACTTTATGGTATTGATTGACGCATCGACATGATAATCACATGTTTGTTTACTATCAACCCATAACATTGCTTTTGCTAGATTACTAGCACAAATTATCAGATTACGAGTACACTTTCTAGATTACCCAATTAAAGCAATTTGTTTGGACAATGTTGGTGAGTTTACCTCAAAGACATTTGATGACTATTGCACATCAATGGGAATTGATGTTGAGCACCCAGTACCACTTGTACATACCTAGAATTGTTTGGCGCGCAGAATCATTTATAAAGTTTATTCAATTAATTGCAAGAACGTTGCTATTACATACACAATTACCGACTTCAGCTTAGGCTCATGTTGTTTTATATGTTGCAGCGTTAATTCGCCTATGACCTTACTACATATCATCAATATTCTCTGATACAGCTTGTATTTGGACATCAACATAATATATCCCATTTAAGAACTTTTGATTGTGTTGTGCAAGTTCCAATTGCACCTTTTCAAAGCACCAAAATGGGATCTCAACATCGTTTGACAATATATGTTGGCTATGACTCACCATCCATTATCAGATATCTTGAGCCCTTGATAGACGATCTATTTACCACACATTTTGCATATTGCCACTTTGATGAGACAATATGATAAAGGAAACATAGCATCCTTGCAGGACATATCATGAAACTTGGAGACATGATCAATGAAAGAAATATTTCCATCATCAGATGGAAATATTGATGAGACAATATGTCCATCTTTAGAGAAAAAGGTAACATCTCTTGAAGTAAGGCCTGAACTTTCTTGGAAGGTAAATTCTATATCCCATTT